TTCTCATCTGTAAAATGGAAATAATTTTATCTACCTTATTAGAATTGTTTTTTGAGAATTAAATAATACATAAGGTTAGAATATCATCTGATAAATACTGACTGTTTACTACTATCATTGTTAGCATTAGACAGTAATTTTTTTTTTTTTGAGACAGAATCTCACTTGGTCACCCTAGGTTGAGTGCATCATAGCAACCTCAAACTCTTGGGTTCAAGTGATCCTCTTGCTTCAGCCTCCCAAGTAACTGGGACTACAGGCACCTACCACAGTGCCCAGCTATTTTTTAGAGATGAGGTCTTGCTCTGGCTCAGGCTAGTCTTGTATCTGTGAGTTCAGGCAATGCACCTGCCTCAGCGTACCAAGTGCTGGAATTACAGGCATGAGCCACTGCACCCAGCTAGACAGCAATTATTAAATGAGTTTGTTCAGAAGCTCACAAAAGGTCATGTTTTTTACATTGATGTCAGATAAATATAGTTTAAGCTATAATTTGTCTGGGTTAAAGGTTTATTTATAGGCTCAGTGGTATTTTTTCATCTCTAAAGATGATAAATTTGCCTGATTTCAGGAAGAATTGCTTTGAAACCATTTAAAATATGATGTTACCAGTTAAGACAGCAGTTCTCAACCTGTGGGTCACAACCCCTTTGTAATAATGAAAACACATCCTGCATATCAGATATTTACATTACAATTCATAACAGTAGCAAAATTACAGTTATGAAATAACAACGAAAGTAATTTTATGGTTAGGGGTCACCAGAACATGAGGAACTATATTGGGGTCATGGCATTAGGAAGGTCAAGAACCACTGAGTTAGGAGAACACTACAGCCATGGCAAGGTTAAAAATGAATGCTTTCATCTTCATACTTACAGAAATAATTTTTTTTAATCACCCTCTATTGAGTACTGTAGTGTCACAGCTCACAGCAACCTCCAACCCCTGGGCTTAGGCCTCAGCCTTCTGAGGAGCTGGGACTATAAGTGCCTGCCACAACACCCAGTTATTTTTTGTTGCAGTTTGGTTGGGGCCAGGTTGGAACCCGCCACCCTCAGTATATGGGGCCAGCACCCTACCCAGTGAGCCACAGGCACCGCCCCAGAAATCGTTTTTTTTTTTTTTAATGTAGCTTTATTTTATTTGCACATGTAATACATACTCAGTGATAAAAACTTAAGCAATATAGAAAAAGAGAAAGTAAAGATCATGTCATATCCTGCTACCTAGTGATAACTACTAACAACATTTTATTGTGCATCTTAACAGAATCCCTCTGTTTTTATCCATCTACATATATGGATATGTGTGGATAATTTTATGAGAGAGAATCATGTTATACCTTATGTTTCACGATCTGTTTTTGCTAACATAGATACAATAGATACCTTTGTATGCTAAGAAAATTAGACTTGTACCATCATTTTTAATAACTGAATAGTGTTTCCCTATACACATTCATAGGTACAGAAATCGTTTATTAACCAGTTTACCTGCTGATGGACCTTTTGTTTACTTTTAGCTTTTAGTTGTTTAAAGTAATTTTCTGGGCTGGGCATGGTGGCTCACACCTGTAATCCTAGCACTCTGGCCTAGGCAGATGGATTGCCTCGAGCAATTGCTGTGGAGCTCACAGGTTCGAGACCGCCCTAAGCAAGAGCAAGACCCGGCTTGGCGCCTGTGGCTCAAGTGGCTAAGGCGCCAGCCATGTACACCCAAGGTGGCGGGTTCGAATACAGCCTGGGCCCGTCAGAGAACAATGACGCTGCAACCAAAAAATAGCCGGGCGTTGTGGTGGGCGCCTGTAGTCCCAGCTACTTGGGAGGCTGAGGCAGGAGACTCGCTTGAGCCCAGGAGTGGGAGGTTGCTGTGAGCTGAGATGCCATGGCACTCTACTCAGGGGGACAGCTTGAGGCTCCTGTCTCAAAAAAAAAAAAAAAGAGCGAGACCCCATCTCTAAAAATAGCCAAGCATTGTGACAGGCACCTGTAGTCCCAGCTACTCAGGAGGCTGAGGCAAGAGAATTGCTTAAGCCTAAGAGTTTGAGGTTGCTATAAGCTATGACACCACAGCACTCTACCAAGGGTGACAAAATGAAACTCTGTCTCCAATAAAAAGTAATTTTCTGTAACCATTCTCTTTCTAAGTGCATTGCAGGAGATGATCTCTTTAATTTTAAATTCCTATAAATTGAATTGATATATCAAAAAATACACACATTCTACATTTTAATACATGTTGTATATTCCTTTCTTTCAAAGATTATACCTTAACTAGTTTTTAGATGAAGAGAATTTTTTTTTTTTTTGAGACAGAGCCTCAAGCTGTCCCCCTGGGTAGAGTGCCATGGCATCACAGCTCACAGCAACCTCCAACTCCTGGGCTTAAGCGAGTCTACTGCCTCAGCCTCCCAAGTAGCTGGGACCACAGGCGCCCACCACAATGCCAGGCTATTTTTGGTTTGCAGCCATTATTGTTGTTTTGCCGGGCTGGGCTGGATTTGAACCCGCCGCCTTAGGTGTATGTGGCTGGCGCCTTAGCCACGTGAGCCACAGGCGCTGAGCCTAGATGAAGAGATTATATTGCATTTATTATTTGTTGGGTGACACTGCAGTTCAACAAGTGCATAAAGACAATTAAAATGTAAATTAATGTGTAAATGTCTGTGTGAGAATTTGTACGCTGTAACTTGCTCACAAAAATCACTTGATGCCTGGAAAAGCAAAATATATAGTATGAAAACTACTCCACTGTTAGTTAAGGTTTTGCCAGAGGTATATTTTTATGTTGTCTGACAACAGATGGTGAATTATTAATCTCTCTGAAAAGCACACTTAAACTGAAATGATAAATAGTGAGGGTTGGCTTTGCAGCTGTCAGGGCCTGTCTAGGCAAGGTGGATAGGTTTTATTTCTTCTAGTGGTCTCAAAGGAGTGTCAGGGAAGGCTGCTTTTACTGCTTACTACACATATTTAAATAGGAGTTGAAAAGCTCCAAAATGGACTCTTTGAAGTGTTACAACATGCAGAATACATTTAAGAAATAGTCCTAAAGGTCTGGTTTATAATTATTTTAAATTTTTTTATTGCCTCCTTTTAATAATAAAAGGATGCTCTATTGCATAAGGTATTGGTTACTAGAATAAAGAGAAATAAAATAAAAGTCTGATCACCTGCAACTATTCTATAGGATATTTTTCTTGAAAGACTTTTAAGTTTTACCCTACTGTTCCTTTGAGAACATAAAATTGATAATATGCTACTCTTAAAACTCATAAAACATGGGGATGGGGGATGAGGTGGCTCATATCTATACTTCTAGCTCTCCAGGAAGCTGAAGTTAAGGCAGATAGATCACTTGAGTTCAGGAATTTGAGACCAGCCTGAGCAAGAGCAAGACCCTGTCTCTACTAAAAATAGAACAATTAGCTGGGCATTGTGGGTAGGTGCCTGTAGTCCCAGGTACTCAGAAGGCTGAGGCAAGAAGATCTCTTGAGTCTAAGAGTTTGAGGTTGCTGTGAGCTACCAGCACTCTTACCGGGATAAGAGAGTGAGACTCTGTCTCAAAAATTTTTTTTAAAACCTCATAGAACAATATTTTAATAATAAATGTTTTCCTGTTAGAGCTGCTTAATAATACTATTCCATACTTAACCTGGCCAGGTAGATACCATGATCACAAAGGTGGTTTTGCCAGGGCAAGGCTTATCCTTTGCACTCTGGGTATGCTGACCCCTGCAATTTCCCCAAATGTGGGAAACTCAACTGCATAATTTGTGGTAGTGAGGGAAAAAGAAATCCTATTCCAGTAATGTGAAACCTTAGCTTTGCACATCCAATTTTTTGTCTAAGTCATAGACAAAAAATATATGTATAGACCGGCTACACAAATAGAATGTTGCAAATATTTATGTGGAAACAATTTTGTCCTTACTACTAATACAAAAATTATAATTTTAAGTAATTTATAATATTTTCCATATGTATTAGAGAAATGGAGGTGGTTTTTAAATGATGTCCAGTGGTAAGGTTTTGTGGGACTGGTACATTCATAGATTACTGGGAATAATTTAAGTTACTAAGCTTTAGGTGCCAACATGTCTATGTAGTTAATGATTTCAGTATTGCCATAGTTTCTGACTTTTAGCTTCAGTTTTATGAATTGGTCCTTAAAATGTTATTTACGTATAGGAAATGCATAAAAATGAATTATGGTGTCAGGGTAGCAGAATTATGGATATGTATAATATTTAAGAGTTTTTCCCTTAATTTGGTTGTAACTTCCTTTTAAATGAAAGGAAAGAAAACAAGCACAGGAGTTCTAATCTTAAAAGATAGGTATAGGAGCAGGATTTTGAGAGTATTTTAGCCCATATGACTATAATATATAAGTTTCAGTAATCTACTAAAATACAAATAGTGATTTTTTTCAAACATTTTAAAATACATATCAGAAGTTAGATTAAAATGCAAGTTATGTTTATTTTGAGTGCTCACTTTTTATCTTTCAAAACCACAGGTGATCAAGAATAGCAAAACAGACATCCCAGAACTGGAATTATTTCCTCGCTATCTTCTCTTCCTGAGACAACAGCCAGCTTCTCGGACACAGCAGTCTAACATCTGGGTGAATATGGGTATGATGAGCCTGAGAATGTTTCCTCAGCATTTACCGAGAGGTAACTTAAGAATGCAGCAAGAATATCATGCATTTCCTCTTAAAAAAAAAAAAAAAAAAACAAAGAAAGAAAACCAAGCTGCTCAGAGTCTGGTGCCACTGTGTTAACATACATTCCTGTCTTCTTTCATACAGAATCAGTAAATCACTGTGGGGTTCAGATCTATGGTCATGCGCAAGACCGAATGGGGGATAGAGGCAAAATCCCAGCAATAAACGAAGAAAGGATATTTCTTTTTCTAGTTTGTAGAGATGAAGATAATAAATAGAAAAATATTTTACATATTTTATTACTTTGAGATATAAGCCATCATAAATTGTTACTAAACTTAGTTGTAATCTGCCAGTCATGGATGGGTCTTTTTAAATCCACTCATATTTGTAAGAAGTAATTTCTTTTATATTATCTTTTGTGTTTGCTTTTTAGGGTTTTTTGGGGGGAGGTGTCATAGGGCAAATGAGAAGCATTTCTCATGCTAGATCTAAAGAGGCTTTATAAGAGACAGATAATACAGAGCAAAGGGAATATTTTTAGAAAAGAAAGTAACACATTTACTTTGAAAAACACCAAGCCTATCAAAATGACATATAGATAAGTTTCTACTTTAATGTATAACATGCAAAAAAATTCTCCTTTGACTTCTCTATGAGGTTAAAAATTTTATTGGCGGACAAATAAAATTTTGCCTTCAAATATTTAAATTGTCCTTCAGCAGTAAAGAAATAATGAGCATTCATTTATATAAAGTCTCAGATTTTGTATTAACAACACCAGAATCTTGTTATAATTGATATAACTTAGTATACAAGAGGTACCTCTAGACCCAGACCAACCTTATGTAAGTACTAGCTCTCCTTGGAAATTGAATAGGGTTGATTTTATGTCTTCATTAAAGGTTATATCCACATAGCATATGAAGAATTGTTCAGTATCGCTTGGTAAGCATTATAGCAAAGCAATGGCTTCTGCCTAACCAAACATCAAAATCAAGAAACAGTAAAATAGAATCATTATAAAACATACTTGGTTTAATTTCCTGCTGAATAGAAGTGTTAGCTTTGCTTTCATGGCACCACAGCACATGTCTTCTTCATTTCTCTTTGAAAGATAACATGAGAGGCAAGATGTGTTGTTACGCTTTTAGTAAGTATTCTTTGTAACTCTTGTGCTGATCCTAGATTTTTTGCTGCTTCTATAAATTACACTAGATTTGTTGGTGCTATTCAAAAACAAAATTATGTTTAATAAGTGGCTGCCTGCTTAATGAGCTATGCTATAAAACTTATAGAACTCAAATTTTCATATTGTGGCTTGGACAATAGAGATTGACTTGGATGCTATACTTTTGCGTATACTTCTGAATCCTAGAACTGCATAGTTCGGATGCTCCAAATTCGTTTATAATTTGAAATTGTATTCTTTACTAATTAGTTGTGAAATCAATCATTAATCATTTTGAAATTTATAAAATATGCTTTCTTGCTGTAATCTTATAACTAATTCCCTGATATATATTTGGAGAAATTTGCTCTTTTGTTTTTCTTTTAGAGATCATTGTTTGCTCACTAATAGTAAAAGATTTGCTTTGCTATGTGTTTAAAAATTGATCACCATTGGGTTTTATTCTGCCATGACATAATAGTCATCTTTTTCAAATACTCAACTTACTATAGCTTTTTTCTAGTCTTTTTTATTCCTTATGAAATGACAAGTATTCAAACCTTGCCACAGTTATAGTAACTTAAATATAGCCTTTTCTACCAGTAAGGCTACAGAAGTCATTATTTCTTAGGTGAGTTTTATAGTATATCTTAGGTGAGTGAATTCTCTGTGAGAGTTCTGAAAAAGCAGATGATGACTCATTGCCCGTAGCACAGTGGTTATGGCCCCAGCCACATGCCCTGAGGCTAGCGGGTTCGAGCTAGGGTGTTGTGGCAGGCACTTGTAGTCCCAGCTACTTGGGAGGCTGAAGCAAGAGAATGGCTTTAAGTCCAAGAATTTGAGGTTGCTGTGAGCTGTGACACCATGGCACTCTACCGAGGGCGACATAAAAATGAGACTCTGTCTCAAAAATAAATAAATAAAAGCAGACAATGCCAATATTTTTCACACTTTGTTTAGTAAGTGATGACTCACTAAAAAGCACGTTTAATGGGAAAAGAAATGCTAAGTCATTATTAAATGGGTAAAAACTACTTGGAATAGCCTGGGTATGGGGGCTCACACGCATAATCCTAGCACTCGGGGAGGCCAAGGCTGGAGGATAGCTTTAGCTCAGGAGTTTGAGGTTGCTGTTAGCTAGACTGAGGTCATGGCACTCTAGCCCTGGGAACAGGGCAAGACTCTGTCTCAAAAAAAAAAAAAAAAAAACCTACCTGGAATGTATACATGTACCCTAGAGGTACTCTAGAAGAGTTATATTACGTTTGTGTTTTTGTTTTTTCAGTTGCTCAACAAAATACAGCCTCCCATAGGCAGAGCTGACCATTTTTGACCATTTTAAGGTACAGCTTTTGTCTGGATTTTGGGCTGATAGTTAATAAGAATTTAGCATGTTTTTCTAACAACTTATTTGATTTCCATAATTGCTTGTCATTTCATCCCCCTCTTCTTTTGAAGTATGTGTTTAGATTTGATAAATTCTTTCTACACTTTTCAGTCTTTTTCCCTATATTACCTAGAGCCCTGTAACAATTCAAGGTAAATGTCTGCTGTCATCTTACTAGATGGGCAGATGATATGATTTCTTTACTTCTCACTTTTTAGTAGGGTAATTATTTTTATTTATTTATTTTTTTCTTGAGACAGAGCTTCAAGCTGTCGCCCTGGGGAGTGCCGTTGGCATCACAGCTCACAGAAACCTCAAACTCCTGGCTTAAGTGATTCTCTTGCCTAAACTTCCCAAGTAGCTGTAACTACAGGCACCCGCCACAATGCCTGACTATTTTTTGGTTGCAGTTGTTGTTTGGTAGGCCAAACAACATTTGAACCCAACAGCTCTGGTGTATGTGGCTGGCACCTTAGCTGCTTAAGCTACAGGTGCCAAGCCAAGTAGGGCAATTATTTATTTATTTAGTCATGGACTTGCTTCTTGGCTTCATTTTATAGACATAGAGTCTCTACCTATTGAGAATTTTAAGTAAAATTTTCTTTTTTTTTTAAATTTGTACATAAATTTTCTTTTCTTACTTAATTGTACCAATGTGTCAGGTAATTGGGCTATTTAATGACCAAGAGCGATGGGGTTAGTAATTGGAAGAAAGATTTAGAAAGTGAATCAGTTGAATCCAATTATCTATCTGTGGCATTCAAATCCAGTCCCATTTTATACTCTCCACTCTTGCACTGAGTTTTATTTCATTTTGCTATTGAATGTGATTCAACTGAGGACAGCCAGATCCCACTGCCAGGTTTTTTTTTTTTTTTAGCATTTCCCACTCTTCTTAGAATTCAAATTTTGCCAATTATTTGGGCCTAAGAGCTTTATTTTTTTTTTTTAATTGAAGCTTTGAATTCACTTTAAGATACTTGGATCTCTGGTATTCATTTTAAAGCTTTATAGTATCCTTCATCTATAAAACTCTTAAACCTGTAATTCTCATTTCTTATTATTTCCTAAAATAGTATGGTTCCCATTGCTGGAAGGAGTGCTTTATTTTACATCTGCTTTTTCTTTATTGTGATTACTATAACCATAGGAAATGTACCTTCTCCGAATGCACCTTTAAAGCGGGTATTAGCCTATACAGGCTGTTTTAGTCGAATGCAAACCATCAAGGAAATTCATGAATATCTATCTCAAAGGCTGCGCATTAAAGAGGAAGATATGCGTTTGTGGCTATATAATAGTGAGGTAAGAGGCATCTCAGATTCAAGAAGAGTCTGATATTTCATGAGTGTAGAATTTTTTACTATAGTAACTATGCTAAAAGCCATGTCTAGAGTCTCAGTGAAAACTTCATCTTTTAAATTATTATACATACATGTAGGTATTTGTCACTAGAGATCCAGTTGATCACCCATGGACAGTACTATGTTAGAAAGATTATTGTTACAAAGTTAGTAGAAAATATTTTATTTCTTCTTATTTACTAAATAGACTATTTTAGATTTATTTTAAGGTAA